GTGATGGCAAGGAAAAGGGCTTCCTGGACAGAGATCATGACATCTTGATAGTTGCATCCTAGAAATTAAGAACTATAAAAAAAGGTTCTTAAAATGGTTTGAACCAAATTGTGGTATGTCATACTCCAGATGCTTCATCATGGATTTACATGACAAATTCAGCATATCAAAACTCTTCATTAAGTCAGCTGGAGTTCACTTCTCCTGCACAGCTAAACAATTAGGTGAATCAACTCTTTCCCTCTAATGATTTTTTTTTTTCTTGTGCTAAATGCTAAGAGAAGATTTAGGCAGCCCTAAAAGTGGTTTCAAAGACTGTAGACCATTGCAACTCATTCTCTGGGAAACCATGTCCCAGTGCGCCATAATGTGATTACTTTGTTTTTAAAGCTTTATGTGATAGGTGAATCCAACCATTCCGGTTTAGTCTTATGTGTGGCCCAGATATGGTTTGTTCAACAAATTATGATTATAAAATCATGGCTTTATACACTGAATAAACATAAAGGGCTGGGATGGCATAAAGGAGGGTAAATGCATTAAACAAAAACAAGAGAAAATTATTTATTGCAGTATTAGGTGACTAAAATTGCCTTCAAAATTTTTGCATTCTTTCTCTGTTCCAGGGATCATTGCCCTTCAAAATGTACATTTGACTGCACCAGATAAACATTTAAGATTCGAAACAACATATATCCACCCAATCCACCTGTTTTTATCTTTTTGTAAGAAAAGAGGTCTAAGACGGTCAGAAACAAAGCCAGGGTATAATAGAAAATGAAATGGAGAGAAATTTGCTGTTAGCATATTAAAAACAAAACTTGTGGAATAATATATACCTAGGAACCTAACAAACAGCAAATGGAAATAATAATAATAAAAAAGAAACTAGAGTTTTAAATCTACATTTTAAAACTAGAATCAAACACCATGAAACAAGGCCCTTTTCTTCTTGATTTAGCTCTTACCTGAAGGACATCCAAGTGTTCTGCTGGAAACACAGCAATAACAGATCATTAGAAGCACTCCTCAAGAGACTGACTTCTTATAGAAGGCAAAGTGAAAAGTTCTTGATTTGTTCTTTGTTCAGCTGAGTTCCTACACCACACTGGGAAAGGTCCTGCTTTCCCTTGAAACAGTCTGCTTGACAAGCTTTAAAATCTTTAGGATCTCCTACATTAAAGACGTAGTTTGAATGTCTCGCACAATATCAATTCACCTGATACACTGAACTTTCAAAAGCATGTACAGGTAGTCCCCAGTTTAAGAATGAGTTCCATTCCCAAGGATGGAATTCGACTTAAGGACACTTAAGTTGAATTTGTATGTAAGCCAGAACAGTATTATTGTATAATACTATATAAGTAGTCTTATGTAATTAACTCGAATCATTGTGTATTTAACTTGAATTTTGCTACAATAAGCTCTGTTCTTAACTATGGGTGTCCTTAACCCAGGAACTACCTGTATTTCTAATATTTTTTGGAGGAGAAAGTACACATATGAGATGGACACAAGTCATCTGTTTATTTGATAGTTCTGACCTTTTATTAAGTAAAGTACCCAGAGTCAGTTAAAGTCAGACATTTTTAAAATCTGGGTAAGAAATAAGCCCACAAGCTCACAACGCCTAGTGCCAATATGCCCTGTAATTCTACATCCTTAACCAGCAATCCCCTTTGTCTTGTCCTGGCTTACCCCTCCAAGGATGATAATAAATATCATCTAAATAGATGGCATTCAGCAAATTCTGCAACTATAATGAGAGCTCAGGTTCCTTTCCTATTCTAATACATTGCAAAACTGTGCCAGAGATGCCCACATTGTGGGCAAGGTCATGAGGTTGTAGGTGCCAGGCTATCAGAGCATAACTGTAAGACTGAAAAACAACCCTCCCATTCCCTTGCTGGTGTTGAAAAAGTATTTTTGAGCTGAATGAGACCACCTCCAAAAAAGCCCCCATATTAAAAGAGATCTTTACTTGAAGCAGGATCTTCACCACTCAGGAGAGCTACCTGCTGTATCCATTGCCAATCCTGGATAAATCTCAAGGGTAGACCAGGGGAAGCTGATGTGGTGACCGCACCATATTCTGAAGCTAAACTAAATTCATTACGGAGATCAGGCATAATACTTACCCAGGCCCTCTCTGGCCAGCTGTCATAAACAAGACACCCGAAGAGCCAGTATCTTTACTGAATGAATTTATTGTTTTTGAACTAAAGTTGTTCACAGTTATTTAACAAGGGATACATCAGAAGGTTCCTCTTTGTCCATTGGAACTGTTAAATAATGTCAGATTGTGTCCACGAGTGTGTGTGTGTGTGCATGTGTGTGTGATCAAAGTACAAAATAGGAAGGATAACAAGAGGTATTGCTTTCATTTATTCTTATGTCTTGTGTAAATGATCTCCTTCCTGCGTGTACTATATGGGCTATTATTATTATTATTATTATTATTATTATTATTATTATTATTATTTGAAATCCCAGCCTTTTGTAGAGGTACAAGTTAACAGAAGCCTTAAAAGCTATACATAAAGGAAGAAAAACCAGGGAAGCGGATTGAGGGTGGTGGAAGGGAAGCTTTGGGGAGAAGGAAGGAGAAGGTGGAGGCAGAGAAGACAACAGAAGCAAGAGAGAGTAATTTACAGCAATATCATGCAATTAAAACTGCCTCCAAACCTCCTATATTCTCACCTCCCTCTGTCCCCAGCCATCACCCTCCCAAGGTCTAACATGCACATAGCAATAGAAGAGAAAAGGTTAAGATCAGGAGAAACAAACCAAACAACAACAGCAACAACAAAAAACACCCTCCGCTTTTGTGTATCTTTTTCAAAATATTTTTTTTCTTCAAACCTATATACAAGAAAAACAGGTCCAATGAGGGCAGAATGAACCAGGACGAAAAAGAAGTAAAAATAACTGGAAAGAAAAGCAAACTGTGAAAGTGAAATCTAATATTAACATTAAAAAATCTTGCAGTGTTAACACACACTTATAGGAACCCAAACAATAGCAATTGAAGATAATAAGGGGACTGAATACTAACTCTACATTTAAAATATTACTGGATTTAGAATTTTGTCTTCTTCTTTTTGCCTCTGTCACTTAGGATATTTTTAAAATCTTTCTCTCCGGCTATACTTGGAGAGAGAGAGGGAGGGAGAGAACAGACACCGAATGAAAAAGAAGAAGAAAAGGAGCACTGGTGAGAGGAACAAGTGGTGGTCTTGTTGGAATTCTACCCCCCCAAATAAATACAAATCAATGTCCCCTCTACTCAGTAATGAAAGCAGAAGATATATCTAACATCTTAAAATTTTAAATATATATATATATTTATATATATTTATATTTTTATATATATGCATTATAAATAATAACCAAGACCTAAGAATAACTTAACTACACAGAAGATCCAGCCCACCCATCCTTCTTAAAAAAAAAAAAAGAAAAGAAAAAGAAAAAAGAAAACAAATATAAAAATATCTTGCAATGTTTTTAAAAGTTTACAGTAGCTTTGTGTTGAACTCGTCCATAGTGCTATCTCCTCCATATCTTGTTCAAATGAACGAAGTACCAGTGGTGATACACACAGGCACGCACAAAGGAAAGGGGGGAAATGGATCTCATTTCATAGTCTTCTTTTTCATTAAAAAACCAAAGCAAACCCCCATACACGACCCAAATAAATAAACAAAACCAGCAAATAAATAATACTGATATATCAATGCAGCACTAATGACACCATAATTGCATCCAAATGCGTGACATAGCAGAGAATTCAGCTGGCCGAAGGAAATTCCAATGTGGAAGGAAAGAAACTGAGGGAGCAGGTTCAGGAGAGAAGGTGTCATAACAGCGGCGGTGACGGCGGCGGTAGCGACAGCGGAGCGTGGCAGCAGAAGTGGCTGTCCCCCAAGAATTGGATTCTTGTCCTTCTTCCTTGCTGCTGATAGCGGCCTTTCCCTAAGTTTCAGTGTTCATATCTCCTTGACTGCTACCTTGCATTTTTTTTCCTCAAGTTTATGGCTGCCTCTCCAGCAGTTCGGAAAAACGATTTGAGATTATAAAAACACCAACACAATTTGAAAAACAATTGGGCAGGGAAGAAAGGGATGGAGGGGAGGGCATTTCTTCTTATAAAAATCTTAATGTGGAATGAGAACAATATGCCATCCTATTCCCCATCCCACCCACCAGAGTCTAGATTCACCAGGAGGAAAGCGGGTTATCCCAGGCAGCGATGCTTTTCAGGGATTCCAACCGAGAAATGCAATTTCTGAGCCGTTCTCCACACAGAGCACCAAAAGAAAATTGTGTGTTGAGGGCAAATGGAATGGAGGAGACCCATTTCCTGCAGTGGGAGACAGGAGGCTGGAAGTCCCCCCCCCAAAAAAAAACCAGTCCGTGGACAGTCTTACATCAGTGGCCTTCCGTGAACAAGCATTCGCAGAGCACAGAAGGTGAAGAGGATGGCTGACATGTTAACTTTTCGGGATAATTCCTGGTAGTAGATTGGAAACAAGCGGTGGTATCAGAAACACAGAAAAAACATAGGCATAAAATGGGGATGGTTGATTCAGAAGCGTGTATGTGTTACGGGGAGGGGGAGGAGTTAAAGGAAGGAAAGAACTGGGAGGGGGGAAAAAAAACCCAAGCGTACAGGACTTGCCAAAATGGGTTTGTCAACTGGGTTACCTTTTTCCTTTTATATGTCTGTGTGACTGTGTGTGTATGTGTGTGCAACATATGTATAGGTATCATATAAATCTATATATGTATATGTGTGGATTATATATATTTACATGTGCATGTATATATATAATTTTTTATATATATATATATATATATATATATATATTTATATATATATATACACACATTTTTTTTCCATACAAAATTTAACTATAGACAGTTTTGTCCTGCGGTAGCACGATATATACACCCATCTATTTTAGAGGCTACCTTGCTAAAGAATACTCATTCGCCTGGGGAGCTTTTCTTCACTTTTCTAGGTGATTTTATCTGCTTGATTTAATTATTTTTCCTCAATGCATTTATTTAAGGTTGGTCTTGTAAGCCGAGTGATGAGGCCATCTTTGCCTTCTCTTTGCCAGCGGGGAACTTAGTGTCTCCTCTAGACCCATAGTCATTTTTATCAGAATCGCTCCGCTTGCTGTTTGTGCTATGCTTGGTTGGCGTGCCGGGGGGATGGCTCACCTGCCCGTTCTTCTCGTCTGAAAAAAGTTGTTTAATTACGTCAAAGAAGTTACTCAATGGGCTGCCTGGGTATACAAAACAGAGGAGACAAAAACAAAAAGAAAACAAAGAAAGCGAGAGAGAGAGAGAGAGAGAGAGAGAGAGAGGAAGAGGAAGAGAAGAGAACAAACAAACAAATGAACAATGGGGTTTTAAACAAGAAGAACATGATGAGCGGTCCAGAGCCACGTGCATGGGTGTGTGTGGAGGATGAAGACAATGAGCAAAAAAGGAAGAGCATCAGGAAGGGAGCACCACCTAAGCATATGGAAACCCTGGAGTCAGGAATGCCCCATTGGGTGGCTGGAATCCTGCACTGTTCAGCAAGTACAGCATTTTTATCTAGCAAAGCTATTGCGTGGCATTATGCAGCCTGCTAAGTGGAAGAATATCAGAATCCGTTAGGACAGGATTGTATAAACTCTTCTGAAATTAGCCTAACTGAAGTGAGTCGAGCATAATACATAGCTATGGATCCTATGCACGCTTAATAGGAAGTCCATTCTATTTATTTCAAGGAATCTTACTTGCAAGCAAGTGTGCTCAAATTATCTTGATTCTCTATATTAATTAAATTATTACTTTCAAGGAGAAGAGATCTGTGTGCATAAAGGAGGGACATGCAAATCTGGTTCTCCTTTGAAATGAATTTTGCACCACTTGTAAAAAAAAATATATATTCTTAACCATTTTCTGTATGAGTATTTTATTTCATACTTTTAATAATGCTACCGAACTTGATCTGTCAGCCTCTATCATCTGCTGCAAACCAGACCTGTTATTTAGATTTACACTCTTGAGTCCATATGCATATGGAAAAATGCACAGGAATAAACAAAATGAAACACACACATACAGGCACAAAACATTTTGTGAAATATGCAGAGATGCTCTCCAGCTCTTCATTCATGACTAAGCCCCAAAATCTTAATGGTGCAGTAGACTGTCTTAAGCAACCCCAGACATGCCAATTGTGGTGGTAAAAGTATCTTCCCCACCCCCCAAGCATATGTGAGCTGCATTCACTACCAACCCTACCTTGAAGGCCAATATGAAAAAGCTAAGTAGAGTCAGACCTGGTTAGTACTTGGATGGGAGACTATCTGGAATTACCAGGGCTGCAGGCTAGACAGGAAGTGTTAAAAAATATTCCAGAAGGGGGCAGTGGTAACATTTGTCTATGGTTGCCAAGAAAGATACACGGACATGAAATCACTAAGAGCTAAGCTTGACTTGCTTGTTTGCCCTCAAAGGCAGCTGTCTTCATTTCTCCCCTGAAAGGTTGCAATATGAGCAGAATACAGTTAGGAAAAGTTGGATTTTGTTTGTGGGCTGTCAGGGCAATCCCACTCTTTGGGGCAGAACATTCAGTTATAAGTAATTTTTTAAGGACGTTAATAAAGTTCCTTGGATCAATGCTACCTCAGAAATCCACACTTAAAGCAGGCATCAGCTGCTCCGGTGCTCAGCCACTTGCCTTGTCTTTGCTGAGAAAAGAAATGGAAGGACACACATCTAATCACCCCTTCAGCTTGGAGATGATGTAGTGAGGGGAAGGATTTGTTTGGGGTCACTGATTTTAGGAAAAAATGTAACGTCTAAAGAGAGATCTGACAATATTATACTTATGTAGAGCAAGCCACAGAAAAGCTGCTGCAAATACAAGAAGATTCCCATTGCAAGATATTGTATGTCATGAAAATTCATCTGCACAGAGAAGCAACTATATTAATTTGTTGTTGCAAAAATAACTCAAAAGAAATCGGCAAATTTACTGCTGACAGTAATGCAGCAGTTTCTTTTGAATACTTTCCCAAAGTGACAATGTCATTTGGGGTGTTATTTTTTGGCCTGGAGATGCATTTCAGTAGATGTATGTATATGAGTTAGTTCTGATTTACAGCAGGAATGTGTAAAATACTCTCAATCCTATGTATCTCATCTGTGAAGTAGAAGTAAATAAATAAATAAATAAATAAATGGTAGAATCTAATCCATAATAAAAAGCAGCAGAAGATGACACAATGGAGACAATCCAGTATGAAGTTAACAAATTTCTCTTATTCTCTGGAGCTAACTGCATATTCTATTTAGGTTACTTGCCCTTTTAGACTTAGGTGGCTATTTCACATCACTGAAACACAACAGAATATCTTTACTGAAGAAGTCAGACAGCTACTGAAATAAATAAGAGACCAAAGGCAACAACATTAAGATATGTTTTGTTTAAATGTCAAATAGGCACATAGTAATTTTTGCTATGTTAGGGGAGTTTTACTATTTTCATGGACAGATTTCACTAACCAGAGTATCTTCTTGCATTAATAAAATCGAACCAGCTGAAAAAAGAATAACACAATAACAAAAAAGGAAAGCAACACAACAAAATTAGATAAGGGCTATATATACAGGGTGTACCAAAAGTCAGGCCCCATGGCCAAAAGACAATCAAAATGAGACCATCACATTAGAATTTGGGAACATCAGAGAAAACGTTACTGTACTTAGGAATATTCAAAGGTCGTGCATCGAACGAGTAAGGAAGTGTTTGGAAGAAAATGGCAACCAATCTGAACACTGAATGTAATTTATATAATAAATTTTGGTACATCCTATATGTGTGTGTTTACATAACAAATTCAAGAAAAGAGGGCCAAGTTTCACTGTAACCATCCATAACCTATTTCTATAAGCAACTTCTTCATAAGTCTAAAACAATGCAAAGTTTTTAATCCACTGAGTAACTGGGGACATAAATTTAACTTTCCAGTGTTGAAGACTAGTCTCTTAGCCATAAGGAGAACATGGAGAATCCACAGTGGAAATGGATTCTTAGTTCAGCTTTTAGTGCAACCTGATTCATCTTAAATACTGATAAATGTTTGTGTGCATTAGGACTAAACACTTGACCAGTTGGTTCCAGACACTGAAGATGGTACCTCTCAGCCATGCAATATAATGCAAAAAGATTTATAGGCCAGAAGGCTAATTCCCATGATAAAAGCCTGTTCTCCACATTCACCCTTCTTCCCAAAACAACAATCAGACAGTATAAAGAATTTAAGATGGATGAGTCTCATGAAAATGATTACATAGCAGGAATAATAAGGCAAGGCAACTTTCTATATCCCACAATGGTTTGCTTGGCTTCCTACGTGGCTTTGGACCCCATATCTTCATATGCAAAATGAAACCAATGAACAGAAAGTGTGAAATAAAGCTGGTAAAACACTATAAATGCTTCTGGGAAGAGCAAGAGAATATTACACATTTCCAAATTTTCTAAGAAATGCATTCAACAAGATCAAAGAGAAAGGGAAGTGCAGAATAAGCAGTGGGAGGAAGCATGAACACTGAGCTCTATCCACAGATCAAAGCAGAAGACAAGTGCGAACCAAAAAATGCAGGGTATTTGCTCAGAGGTTTCAATTTAATGACACATATTTTAATCTGGATAGAAGATCTATATATTCCCCTTTTCTGCTTTGTAATTTCTCAGTCATACGTGATGCTTGTTTGCTTTCAACAATAAAGGTTCACCTTCATTGTGACTGATTTTGATAAAGCTTGAGAAATTTTGATGAAATAATGTTCCAAGGGAGAGGAGAGTCAGAGATGGTATATAGGCCGCCCTTCCATTTGACTTCTCCACAGTACCTGAATTGAGAATAAAATAAATGTATTTTTGGAAATGGCGAGTTCAGGTTGTAGCAGTTAGCTGCCCTTACCAATATTAAATTAAATTAAAAAGCTAAGCAAGATCAGATGTGCTTAATTCTTGGAAGAAAGTCCACCAAGAAATCTCAGAATGGGAGTAAAATGGGAGGTTAACAATCATCTCAGAAGAAGGCAGTAACAAGCCACTTTCACTGTTGCCAAGAAAACAATATGGATATGCATATATAGTCACCAGGAGTTGAGTTTGACTTAAATGAATCTCTGTCTTATCTCATTAGAAATAAGCCAATAGGCTCAATTATCCAAGATATCCAGGCAGTTTGAGACACCATAAAAAAACATTTCTGCACATCCTTGCCCTTTAAGACAACAATTGTTTGCCTTAAATGAATGGCGGACACTTGAAATACTACAAAGGAATTAATTTCACAGTGAAAGTCTCATATTGATTGCTGTTAAGTTTAGTAGATTTGCTCAGCCATTTGAACACCTTGCAGCTACTAAATATTTAGAATTACAAGAGAAGTAATAAATCAGTAGTAAGCAATAGCATGTTTACTGCATTATACCATTGTTTGAAAGAGCTATCAGAACATGTATGAAAAGGACATACATGAAAAGGAAATATGCCTTGGAATATTATGAGTTTATTCTGAGTATCGTGGTTATGTATTTAAAATATTGGCTGTTCTTATAAAAAGGGTGGGGATAGCAGGAATAAATCTTTTTAAGTTGAAGAAGGAGGAATGCCACCCAAGTATCAGGTAAGGAAACTTAATATCTGGGACAACTCATAAATGGGGCATATATCATATTGATGATAGAAAAAGAAAAGAAAAGAACCCCCACATCACCCTTTCAAAGCTGTGTGAAACAAAAACAGGATTTCCAAAGGATTAATGTAAAAATAGCCTCCAAACGAATTGCATAAGCATCATCAGCTTTGTCATTACAGGAAGCCATTAGAGCACCATCAAAGTTAAAGAACTTGGCCTAAAAAGCCACTACAACTATGATCCTGATCCAGACAGACATTATTCAGATTTTTATCATTTGATGCCCTATGCATGGAAATATTAGACACAAAGATGGGGAGGTTTCAAATTCAAATTGCTGATGATAGAAGCGGGAAGATCCTTATTGTTCCCACAAAAAGAAACTGCCAGAGCCAAACAACCGAACAAGCTCTGATTTCAGCTAAAACCTTAGTTCCAATCTTTTCCTTAGAAGCCTACTTTTTCTCTCTCTCTCTCCCTCCAAGACTCGGGAACAGTGAATGAACCCATCTCAGATATATTTGAACCTAAACAACATCACCCAAAGCAATTGCCCATTAGTAAAGCTAGTT